CTAAATTTAAGGGCCTAGAGGGGCCAAAAGTTTTTCTTTATATCTCAAAACGTATTGAGATTTTGTAATACATCAAAGAAGCAAAGTTGTTCAAAATGACAAGCTTAATCTATTGAAGTCGTCAAGAAACGTCCGTCGTCGTCACTTCCGGCCAAACCGGAAGTAGTCGAAAAACGCGTATTTTTGCCGTTCTTGACAAGTTTTTTGGTAACAAATGTCTCTAGAAGCATAAAAATTGATTTTTCGTACGTCATCGTCACCTCCGGTCAAACCGGAAGTACCAAAAAATTGCTTATTTTTGCATTAATTAACATAGCGTTAGAGGATTCAAACCATTTTAGGCGTTATTTCTCATTTTTGTTAAAAAATTAATGCTACTTCCGGTCGAACAGGACGGAAGACCTACTCGTTGCTTTGCAACTAGCTTTGCTCTAGTTTTCTTACCGATTTTGTGCACGCGAGTTCTCGGAAACGGCAGGATGGATTTTCATGAAACTTTCAGGTCTGATAGAACATCAAAAAATCTAGAAATAATTTTTTTATTTTGATGACGTCACTTCCGGTTCGGAGATTTTCTCGATTTTGTCATTTTTAGAGGGTCACTTTGTCCGGCAATGTTCTCAAAAACCGTTGAAGATAGAAGTATGAAATTTTCAGTGATGATAGAGCAACCTTTGGAGATGTGAATTGAGTATATCATTATTACTGGAAGTAGGAAGCGCCGACGCCCGCTATGGCGCAAAAATAGTCCTATCAAGAATTTCAAAATTTCTCACACCTTTTCTTCGATATCTTTTTACTTGTAAATATTTTGTGAAAACATATAGAACGAAAGAAGTGTAGAATTTCAAGATCTTTCAAATGATATCTGAAAAAAGGGCTGGCCCCTAAATTTAAGGGCCTAGAGGGGCCGAAAGTTTTTTCTTTATATCTCAAAACGTATTGAGAATTTGTAATACATCAAAGAAGCAAAGTTGTTCAAAATGACAAGCTTTATCTAATGGGGTCGTCAAAATACGTCCAGTAACGTCACTTCCGGTCAAACCGGAAGTAGTAAAAAATTGCATATTTTTGCTGTTCTTGACAGGTTTATGGATATCATATGTCACTGGAAGCTTAAATCTTAATTTTCCGTCCGTCGACGGTACTTCCGGTACTTCCGGTCAAACCGGAAGTTGCCAAAAAAGGCTTAATTTTGCTAAAATTAACATAAATTTGGAGGATTAAACCATTTTTGGACTTCATTTCTCTTTCTTTTTTAAAGGAAAGTTACTTCCGGTCAAACAGGACGGAAGACCTACTCGTTGCTTTGCAACGAGCTCGGCTCTAGTTTGCTTTTTTTTTCCCGCCGGATTTTTGACAGGCGATTTCTCAAAGACCTTTCGACTGATTTTTATGAAACTTTCAGGTTAGATACCTTGTATTTACACCTATTTACAACTGCTTTCAATTTTTTGATACATGCCTTACTTTGTGAGTTATTGCCCTTTAATTGATAATTTTGATGTCTCGTGTCCACTAATAATCTCAAGAACGACATATGATCATTACATGAAAGTTGGAGAACTTGTAGCCAATACATTGTAGATGTGCATAACGATAAAATTATCAGCTGATTTCTTAAAGATCGGAAGCTATGTGACGGCAATTTTTAGTAATTTTTTTCCATGAAATTTTGCTTCTTTTTGTATAATAACTTTTGAACCGAGAATAATTTGGTAAGAAATGTATAACAAAAGTTGTGCATAATTACAAGAGCTTTCATATAAGATCAAGGAAAAGGGGCTGACCCCCATAATTAGGGGTTAATAGCTCATACACGGTTTTTTTTTCTGATAGCTAAAAATATTGGTATATTATGAAAAAGTTTGACTGAAATAATTTCGAACTGATTAAATCTTGTCGTTTGATATAAAGAGAAATAAACTTCAAGCTATATTTAATACTTTTTTATAAAACAAATATGTGAGAAACCTTACAGGAACAAGTTGTCTACTATAGCCAAGCCTTTACTGGGCCTCTTGCATAGTTTTAGTTGATCGATGCATCTGAAAGATATTTTTTTGATTCGGTGTTTCTCTGTTTTCTTTTTATTCAAATAATTAATATAATGTGATGATGTACACAGCAATAAGTAAAATCAAAATATTTCTGCATTAGTTTAGAGGAAGTCTTTTCGGGGCCTCTTGTTTGTAAACAACGCCCGGCATTGTGGGAAATGGGAAGGTACTAAAGACCTGATATACTAAAAACCTTATTTGACCTGATTCAAAATCGTCAGTAAATATTCCAAACAAACGAATTTTTGTATAGCATTATGCATCAAAGTCATAAAGTATTTAAATAAGTATTTGAAACTACTCAATATTGTCATTTAATCTAAAATAAAAACATCAGGTAAATATCAGGTCTTTCGTATATCCGGTTATTAGTGTGTCCCAAAAGTCGGACACATGTTTACAAACTGAAAGTTGGAAACAAGTTTGGCTTTCCAGAAAGCCTGAAATGTCATCTCTTTGGTATCAATAATGTCAAAGAAATAAAACAGAAAGGGAAATATTTTAATGCAATGAATATATGGATTATTACACCTGAAGTTCCCAAATGACTTATTCAGCAAACTCCACAGTAAAGTACGCAGTTTCTTTTGGCCGCAATATATTAATGGAAAGCATGGACGTCTGCGAGAGAACCCAAGGCGATTTTCGGTGAAATTTCATTCTAGCGGTCTTTGTGCTTCTAGGTGTTTACAATTTACTTAAATTCAAATACTTTCCTTGAACTATATATATATTTTCTTAACACAATACGGATTATCAACAATAATTATCATTCATTTAAAAGCAGCTAATCATTAAAGTTTGACAGCAATTAATGTAATAAATCCAATTACAGACTAAAAAATTTACATAAAATTAGCGTTGACCACTCTTCATTCATTTTTTGCAGAATCTAATTGTAAGCTTGTTATTTTGTGCGAGAACCAGTTTTCCCTTCGCGTCAACAAATCTATATATAGAAACACGTCATTGTTAATTCTCCTTGTGTGGCTTACCAATTTAATAAGGCATAGTATTGAGGATCAATATATATATACGACACACCAAAACTATAGATATTTATAAGCATCGTACTTCTTTTTGTCATCTCCCTCGGGAGATGACACATTAAGATTGTATGCCGGAAGCGAAGTCCTAGTGTAAGCCTCCATTAATCTTTCGGGAATCCTCGAGTTTTACAATATCTCAAGTGAGAATCTACACAAGGAGTTCCAAGTAGCATGTAAACTGGTTTCCTTTTAGAAGAACTAGCTAAGAAGTGTGTGATCTACTTTCGGTTTAGGCCTATTTGAAGAAAGCCAAGGAAAAATTAGAAAAGAAGTACGATGCTTATTGTATTGTTAACGATATTCCGGAACTTTTAGAGTCGGACATTATTTTTCATTGTTTACAGTCAACGGAAGTTTGTTTTGTTTACCTCGTGGATAGACGATCCTGTGTTTGTGACATTATAGCTCAGTAATATTAATTTTGGATCCATCAATGTGTAAGTAGACACTGTTTTTGTGACTAACGCGAAGTGCGGACCAATGATTATTGTGATTATTGTGTTGTTAAACTATACAGTGACATTCAGTATAACCCACGCTGCTCTGAAAAATCTACGGAACGACGTTATCATCATAATGTGATTATATTTTGTTTTATTTTAAATTCAGGTTGAAACATTGGAATAAATCGTTACAACAGATGGTTTAATTTGTTACTGAGCCATACATTTCAACACATTGGAGAACATGGGAGAGGAAATTAGGAAGATGTTACGGAAAAAGCGAAGTACTGCAAAGGGAAGGTTCCACAGAATATATGGACGCCTTTTGGAGAAAATTCAGGATGAAGAGGAATCAGATATTGTCAAACAGATGCTCAGTGATTTGGAACAGTCATATAAAGATATGGAAGTACGACATAGTGAGTACCTAGAGAACTTTGATTCAGATGATGAAAATGATAAACCAAAGATGGACGAAGCAAACCATGATATGAACACTTTATACAAAGAGCTGTGTAAGGCCAGGTCCCTTTGTCTCAAATTAACTACCAAGAAAATCACATCGCAAGAGAAATGCGTGAAAGAATGCGTGAAAGAACAATCCCTGAAAGTGAAAAAATTAGATCCGCCACACTTCAGCGGCAAGATTCGAAATTACCCGAGTTTTAAGTCAGACTATTTTACTCACATGATTCCAACATATGGAAAAGATCCCTTTGCTTTGAAGAATTCCTTATCTGGAGAGCCTTTTGAAATTATAAAGGGAGTAGATAATGACTTTGAGGAAATGTTTAAACGTCTTGATCTGAAGTATGGAAGACCGGAAAAGTTGGCGGACACCGTTCTGGCCGACATAAGGGCATTGAAGGCAGTTCCTGAGGGGAGACAGCACAAAGTTTACAGAAATGGTGGAGATAGTGGAGGGATGTTGGTTGATTCTGAAGCGGATGGGTTTGGAAAAAGAAATGGACAATGCCACCATGATCAGTGAGATTGAGAAATTATTACCCTCTATCCAGAAGAGAGAATGGGCTTTGCTGAAACTTAGACTGAAGTCTACAACGTTTTCTGATTTGTTGAGATTCCTTTTGGATGAAAGAGCTGCAATTGAATATATGACTTCGGATATTCGAGAAAGTAATAATGCCAGTGTTTCTCGTAAAGGAAAAATCCATAATATTACCAGCTCACAAAAAAAATGAGAAATTTGACGATTCTTTTGTTAATGTTATACAGAGTCAAATGCAGCAAAATGAACAGAAAATGCAACAGGTGATTGAAGGATTAGCACAAGTGACAGATGCGCTTCTTAATGGAAAACAGAGGGAGCAATACACGATGCTTCCAGAAATGATGTCTCTTTCAGGAAAAAATGTTGGTATCATGAGACTGACAATCATTCTATTGGGGACTGTACCGGTTTTTCTGCTCTTGATGGAAAAACAAAGATGGAGTTGCTGAAACGAAATGGTGCTTGTTTTAGTTGCCTGAAAAGTGGACATCTATCAAAAAGATGTAATTATAGAAAGCCCTGTGAAATCACAGATTTTCGTCAACAAAAATGCGGCAGATTTCATCATCCTTTCTTACATGGGGTGATAGTGAACGCGAGCGCACACCATCACAGTGTAAACATTGTTAACGAAGAGCAGGGAAAGAAGGGAGTCATTCTCATGATCAGCAAAATAGAGAGTGGTAATATCCCATTGACCACCTTATGGGATCCTGGTGCTAATATTTCTCTTTTAACTTTTGAATCCGCTAGGAAGCTTGGACTCAAGGGGCGTGAAGTGACATTATCAGTGACGAAGGTGGGAAACACATCTGAGTGTATTCAAAGCAAAGAATACTTACTGCCACTGACAGACATGTATGGCAAGGTCTGGCAAGTGAAAGTATATGGAATGAACAAAATTACAGCAGATATTTCAAAGGTGGATGTTCATGGAGTTGTGAAATTCTTTAAAGGGATTAAAGAGGGAGATATAGTGAGACCAGAAGGAAAAGTGGACCTGCTGATAGGAGCTGATTGCTGCATCTTATTGCCTGAGAAAATTGATCAAATTGGAAATCTTCAATTGATGCGAAATCAATTTGGATACTGCATTAGAGGAAGTCACGCCAAGTTACACGTACCTGTTACAACGGAGTCAAATCTTGTGTGCATTCACCATACTTCTGGAAGGATAATCGAACCAATACGGTTAAACCATGAGAGCCTTAAGAATGCTGTTGACAATTTTTTCGACATAGAAGGCCTGGGAACGCATTGTGTACCAAAGTGTGGAAGTTGCAGGTGCGGGAAGTGTCCACCTGGAAATGGAAGCTACACATTGAAGGAGGAACGAGAGTTACATCTTATAAAGGAGGGACTTCAGTATGATGAAGTGGGCAAGAACTGGACTACTACGTACCCTTGGATTAAGGATCCAAAGTCTCTCCCCAACAATATCAATGCAGCGGTATGTCGGTTGAAATGCACGGAAAGGCGCTTAGAAAAGGCTGGACAAGAGTACAGTGAAGCATATGGTGACCAGATTGCGGATATGGTGCAGAGAAGCGTTGCAAGAAAATTAACGGCTGAAGAGGTGCAAAGGTATGAAGGACCTATCCACTACATTCCACACCATGAAGTCTTAAAACCAAATTCCAAGACTACACCAGTGCGGATCGTATTCGATTCATCGTCCTCGTACATGGGTCATGTTTTGAATGATTACTGGGCAAAGGGGCCAAATGTTCTGAACGACCTTTTAGGAGTTATTATCAGATTTAGGCAAAGAAAAATTGCAATTGCTGAAGATATCACGAAGATGTACAACGCAATCAAACTGTCGGAAAGAGATCAGGACACACACAGATTTGTCTGGAGGGACTTGCAGATAGACAGACCACCTGATCATTATGTCTTAATGTCAGTCACATTTGGAGATAAACCCAGCGGAGCAATCTCTACCATGGCCTTGCGAATGACAGCAGAAATGAATCGGGAAGAATATCCAAAGGCAGCTGAATTTGTTATCAAAAATAGTTATGTGGATGACTTACTCACTTCAGTGAATACTGTTTGTGAAGCCAAGGAAATAATTCTGAACACTGAAAGACTTTTAAGCTGTGGAGGATTTCATGTAAAACACTGGATTGTTTCTGGTGATCAAGATGACCACTTTGCAGGATTGAATGTGTTATGTGCCGAGCAGGAAAACATTCTTGGAATGATTTGGTTACCCAAAGATGATGTCTGGATGTTCAAGGCAAAACTGAACTTTTCGCCAAAAAGACGTGGAAAGCATACAGAGGATGATATCGAGGATGGACAATTACATCTAATTCCGGACAGTCTAACTCGCAAGATGGTTCTAAGTCAGGTTGCAGGCATATATGATCCTCTTGGACTGGTTGCTCCATATGTATTGTCTGCAAAAATTCTCATGAGGACCATGTGTTCCAAAGAAAATCAAATTGGATGGGATGAGCCTATGAGTGAAGATATGAGGGCTAAGTGGGTTCAGTTCTTTACAGGATTTTATGATTTGCAGAATTTAACATTCAAAAGATGCCTTATGCCGGAAAACACAGAAAGTGATCCAATGCTTGTTATATTTTCGGATGGAAGTCAGCAAGCCTACGGTGCATGTGCCTACATCAGATGGCATACCGAAGATGACAAATACACATCGAGCCTAGTGATAGCAAAGAATCGAATTGCACCAGCAAAGCAGTTGTCTACCCCTCGTCTTGAACTCTGTGGAGCAGTGCTTGCATCTAGGCTGCGTCAAAAACTAGTAACAGAAATGAATTTCAAATTCAGTAAGATTGTGCATATTGTCGACTCCATGATTGTAAGAGCGCAAATACAGCGAGAGAGTTATGGCTTTGGGACATTTGTGGCAACACGTGTTGCTGAAATACAAAGTACATCTGATCCCACTGAGTGGTGGTGGGTTCAAGGAGATCAGAACCCTGCCGACATGACTACAAGGGTTGCAGTAGCAAGTGCTTTAGGGACTGACTCTAAGTGGCAAAACGGGCCAGATTTTCTGAGAACTCCATTTGAATTTTGACCAATAAGTCAAGAAAATACCATAGACAGCGATCAGATACCTGATATTATTGGGGTGACAATGTCAATCACTTCTGAGAATCGTTCTTCCCATGGATGTGCTGTTATAGATATAGAGCGGTTTGCCAGTCTGAAGAAGCTTCTTCGAGTTACCAGCATGGTTTTAGCCATTGTGAAATGGAAAACATTTAGAGGTATTTGTAGCAAGATCACTTCAGGGACATCTGTGGAAGCAGAAAGGAGTTGGGTTAAGCACGCGCAGGAAAAGTTACCAGATGATTGCATGAAGAAATTTCAAAGACTTGGGCCATTCATCAATCAAGATGGGGTTGTTTGCGTTGGACAGCGCATGGCTGAATGGATCAAACAATCATGGAACCAGAGAGAATTCTCTTTGCTGCCAAGAAAGGGTCAGTTTACGGAGTTAGTTGTGCGCAGTGTTCATGATGAAGATCATGCAGGATTGGAGGTGACGTTAGCAAAAATCAGAAGCAGATACTGGATTCCCGGAGTTCGAAAAATCATTAGACGAGTCAAGGATAACTGTGTTGTGTGCAGAAAGCGGGATAAAGTAACAATACAACAACAGATGGGTGTTTTACCTTCATTCCGACTGAATCCAGCACCTCCATTTTATAACTGTGCCGTTGATATGTTTGGATCATATACCATACGTGACACAGTCAAAAGACGAACACATGGAAAGGCATATGGGGTATTGTTTAATTGCCTCAATTGCAGGGCTGTGTACATCGATTTAGCGGAAGGTTACGACACAGGAAGTTTCCATGTTGTATTCAGGAGATTTGTATCACTTCGTGGCAATCCAAAGCGAATGATTTCTGATGCAGGCACACAGCTAGTAGCTGCAGGCAAGGAATTGGATAAGTTTGAAGTAGAATGGAACGTCATCAAATCTGCGGACGCTCCATGGGAGAATGGTTGTAGTGAATCCTTAATCAAGTCTGTGAAGCGATGTCTGCAAATTGCTGTTGGGGATTCAATTTTAACGTTTTCAGAGTTGCAAACTGTGTTGTTTGAAGCTGCAAATTTAATAAATGAGCGACCTATCGGGACCAAGGTGTGTGACCCAAACGAAGGAACATACTTATGCCCGAATGATTTGCTGTTAGGGAGATCCACAGTTCGAGTTCCTCAGATGCAAATAGAAGAACATTGCAATCCACGACTGAGATGGAAATTCATTCAACAGCTGGTTGATACCTTTTGGAAAAGATGGATTAGAGATTACTTTCCCACTTTTATTGCGAGACAGAAGTGGCATACAAGCAGGAGAAATCTGAAGCAGGGTGATCTTGTGTTAGTCCAGGATACAAATCTAATTCGTGGAAAGTGGAAACTTGCTCAAGTTGCCGAGGCAGAGCCTGGAACAGACGGAAAAGTACGAGACGTCACAGTGCGATACAAGAACGTGGGACCAGGTGCAAGGTATGACGGGTGTACTGACACTGTCATTCGCAGATCTGTTCATAGACTTGTAGTTATACTGCCAGTGGATGAATGTGATTAGTTGTGAACTTGCCAAGAAACGTCGGGGGGAGTATATCGTTAACGATATTCCGGAACTTTTAGAGTCGGACATTATTTTTCATTGTTTACAGTCAACGGAAGTTTGTTTTGCTTACCTCGTGGATAGACGATCCTGTGTTTGTGACATTATAGCTCAGTTATATTAATTTTGGATCCATCAATGTGTAAGTAGACACTGTTTTTGTGACTAACGCGAAGTGCGGACCAATGATTATTGTGATTATTGTGTTGTTAAACTATACAGTGGCATTCAGTATAACCCACGCTGCTCTGAAAAATCTACGGAACGACGTTATCATCATAATGTGATTATATTTTGTTTTATTTTAAATTCAGGTTGAAACATTGGAATAAATCATTACAACAGATGGTTTAATTTGTTACTGAGCCATACACTTATAAATATCTATAGTTTTGGTGTGTTGTATCTATATATATTGAATCTCAATACTGAGGCCACCCGAGGATCACCGACTGTCAGTTTGATGATGATGCGATTTTCCCCTAAATATAGATTGAGATGTAAACAATGAGCGCTAAAGAGGCTTTATTATTCAGAAAGAAAACAAGCTGCACAGAAATCATAGAGTCCGACACACATTGCCTGGGTGCTGGGGGTTCTTCAAAATATACATGTGCACTGTACATGTATGTTCTCATGCAAAGTCTTCTTGGTTATTACGTAAATGATGGTCAGAACTTAATAGAATCTCCTAACTAGGTCAGCGCATGTGTAAAGATCCTCTGCGGCTTACGCGTGGATCCAAGAATTCAGAGATAAACAGCATCAAATTTAAAACATTCATGTAAGTAATCGCATTAACTGATATGGACTGATAGTACATGAAAACTCTAATATTTTGGTTCATTAGTCATTCTATAAAATTGTAGCCATTTTTTTTAAAAATAATACAAGTCTGATTAAGCGATCGAATGTATAAAGAGTAAATTAAAAAAACTTCAGAAATTAGAAGCACATATTATAAGCGGATACATTGATGTCAATAAAAAACTACATACATTGGAAGATTAAAGATCACAAAGAATCATTATGAATATTTTCTTGCATGTCTAATTCTATTCTTTTTTAAGGAGTTTTCATATTTTTAATTAATTAAAGAACTTGCAATTTATCATTTTCTTAATGCAGTTTTAATAATTGCATTAATGGCAATAAAGACATCAAATCATTTTCTCCTATATTATTGAAATGAGGCCAAAATTATAATTATACAGAATTGTTTAAGTTTAGTATGCAGAAAAAAGTTTACTCTCGTAAGTTCGGAGTTTCCAAATGAGGACTCTTTCCAGATTATTTGAAAATACTTAATTTTGGTAGAGAGCATTTAAATGTTATTACTTGCCTAATTTTAAAAGCACATGTGCGTTATTTCTTTGGATAAGCTAAGTGTGTATAAAACGAAGGTTTCATATTTTAAGACTTATGTGCTTTGCAAGTTAATGACGTTGATCATGCTGATGGCAGTTTTCACTATCTTGTGCTTTATTTTGACAGTACCGTGTGCATGTGCATATTTTATAAAGCGTTTATTAACAGGTGGATTCAGAAGTCTTGAAAAGGGTAGGGTCCCACCGTCACACCAAAAACTGAATTACCGGTATTAAATCTTATGGATATTTTAGACACAAAATTTTACAAGATACAAATGACATTCATAAAGTGACAAATAATTTCCATATGAAAGAGTTTTTTTTTTCAAAAACATTATTTTATTATCAATAGTTCGGTGTGAAATGCTTTCGGAACATATGAATAATGATATTATTCAGATGCATGTAATTTAGGAAAATCGAATCTACAAAGCTGTGCCCTAGCTCTTTTAACCCTGTATTGTTGTAATTGTTCACTGCACCCCCCCCCCCTATCCACACTGTTTGTTGAAGTATAGTCATGTACTCCCAAACTAAAGTTAAAATATTTCCTTCCTATCCACAACATAGGATTTTGGAGTTTGATCATTACTTTTTTTCCCAATCTAAAATTGTTCATGTAAACTGCCACTCCCCATCCCTAGAGGAATAGAAAAATCTGTAATAACTGAGAAAAAAAAGTTACACTTTGCTGTTTATTCTTTGACAGTAATGAAGCCAAAGAGATGACATTTCAGGCTTTCTAGAAAGCCAAACTTGTCTAAATTTTCCTTGGCTTTCAAATAGGCCTAAACCGAAAGTAGATCACACACTCCTAAGCTAGTTCTTCTAAAAGAAAACCAGTTTACAGGCTATTTGGAACTCAGTAAAACGTCGAGGACTCCCGAAAGATTAATGGAAGCTTACACTAGGACTTCACTTCCGGCATACAATCTTAATGTGTCATCTCCCGAGGGAGATGACAATCATGTGAAGTTGAGCATTTCTTACCACACAAGCCACAGGCCGTATGTAGACATGTACGCACATTTAATCTGCAGCTACGAAGTACTTTATCAATCCTCTGGAGCATTATTTTCAGCAGAATTATCCGATTTATAAATTTTTGTGTGAATTGTTTACGAGGAAATTCCGACTGTTACATTAACAAGCTGAGCACTCTTGACTCTGATTCGTGGTTCCCAGTGATAAATGTATCGAGTGATGAAAGAGTCGACGGTGACATTTTAAAGTTTGATTGGCGTGGACTATCGGAATGAAGGTTAGAAATTTATTTTACCTAAAATTTAAATTACTATGGCAGCTTAGAGCATTGATATTTTTAGAAATACACAGACACACCGATACATTATCTGTTTTAAGGCTCAGACGCTTTCTGTTAGCCTTTTAAAATCTAACAACTTTTTATTTTTTATTTAAATATATGTGAGCATTTAATTTCAAAAAGACTCACTTTCAAAACAAAAAATTCAACACTCCACTATCCATCATAGTGATACTCTTATAGACCGTTTCACGGTAACTGCGGTACTGCTCTTTTGCAGGGCAAAATGATATAGTTTGGTGAAGTATGACATATAAGTAATTGTTAAATATACGTCATTTAATTATCTCTCAACAAAAACTTTGCCAAACGTTATTATTTTGCCCTGCAAAAGAGCAATACCGCAGTAACCATGGAGGGGTAATTCACACTACACTTATTATTTGTTGAATATACACCGTAACAATATGTTGACGGTGTGACTGTTAGGGTGAGGGCAGATACTTATTCAGTTTTAATTTAGATCGGGCTTGTCAAACCGCACTTGACATTTGGTGCATCGATGCTCTGTTCACACGGGGAGTTTAATTCAA